TCGCCTTCGCAGAGCGAATCCTCGACGAACCCCTCAGTGCCCATCCCGGGCACTGCCTAGAGTGCATGCATGCAATGGCCATCTCAGACATGCCTCGCCGACGATTTTCATTTTCATTTCATTACAATTGTTCAGCACGCCCGCGCATTTCGACTCTGACTACAGTGCCCTGCCGCAGGCCTGTCTGCAGGGTGAATGCGAGCCGCTGTCGACGCACGCGCAGTGGGGCTCGGCGAATTCCGATCGAAATGGCGCCCCGCCAGCTGGAGGGATGAGACGGGCGCCGCGCCGCTGTCCAGCGGCAATCTCTTGGAAGCGTCCAAGCAGGGCCCTGTCCCATCGGCCCAACGAATGTCCTGCCGAAGTCGCCCCCACCTTCACACCCCTCGCACCCAGAAGGCGGCAACGTCATCACGCCGTCCGACACTGGCGCACAATGCATAAAATCGCGCGTGGCTGCGGCCGAGGGGATGCGGTGCATCTGAGTCGCCGAAAGCGTGCTGGGCACTTCGACAGTCTCGAATCGCGACCCCCCGTTGCTTGAGTGGGCAGGCCCAGGGCGCAGCACTTCGCGGTAGTCCGCTCTCTGAAGAGCCGAGGCCCCCGATATCGAAGATCGAGCTTCTTCAAGGCTCGCCGCCCCATCCGCGATTCCGATGGCGCGCCGAGCCGCGCTTGTGGCCCTCGCCCTGTGCCTCCTGTGTTCGAGCTCTGTGGGACAGCTGCAGCGGAGGAACTCGCCTCCGAGGCTGCAGCGCCCCGGGGCTGGTTCGCCGCGGCCCTCCGGTTCCACGCAGCAGCCTGACAGCTCCTACCTTGGAGATCCGTACGCTGGCAACCCGTTCCTCTCCGCAGTGAACAACATATCAGAGGTGAGCCCATGCGCGAATCGGGCCCGCAGGGTGCACGCAGGGTTGGCGGAGGAGACGGTGAGGTGGCAACTGTTGCAGCAACGCTGACAGCGATCAATTAGGGCTGATGTGGCCGCCGGAAGGCAGCTGGGGTGGGGCTCTGTAGCGTGGAATTGCAGCCCTTCACCGTCGCAGCATCGCAACGGAGGCCAAGATTGCTCCGCTCACCACAGTCCGCCCGGGGGATGTTACGGTTTTGAGTATTTCGTCGATGCCTCGCCTTGCAATTCCCCTGGTGCTGCGCAGAACGATTTGGTTCGTCCGAACAAAGGCGATCGGCGCAAGGATGTGGTCGAAGGCAAGACACCCGCGAACGTGGTGCTGGAGAGGATTGTAGTTGTCCCCGCACAGGAAGACACGGAATTGATCGCTCTTAGAAACCTCGGAGGCCAGACGGCGGATTTGAATGGCTGGAAGCTCACGGACAGCGTCGGTCGCGGTGACCCCCTTGTCTTTGGGGCGGCCCCAGACTGCAGAGATCCAGTCATCATAGCAGGCGGCCAGAAGATTGATGTGAGGCCGAAAACCCAAGAACACCCATGCGGTTATGAATTCTCCCTTGACTCCAGGTGCGCCCTGCGATTCAGCGCACGGCCGCGCTGCGACATACATGCGCACAGCGGTGCATGAGGCATTTATTGTTGATAACGGGCGGGATGCGTCACAAGCTCAGGCATCCGCAATGGGAGGTGATGTGGGAAGGCCCCACACGACTATTTCTGTCCCCATAGGGAATCGACGACCTGCAAACTGTGGATGCGCATGAATGGACATGTCCATGTAAATGCCAATCGTGGTTTCAACGACCTGAGTTGTTTGCGCAGGGATTCAGTCGCGCTTATTGACAACAACGGCACCAGGGTATCCAGTGTCAGGTGGGATCGAGCGTTCGAAGATTCAAGCATCCGTCACCTGGGACGCAATAGTTTCGGAGTTCTGGATGAAAGCGTAGATGTCGTTGAAGTGCTTCGATATCTGGGCGATTTCGAAATCTTCATCGAAGCTCTCGAGGTGGGTGCTGCAGTGGAATCCTCATGGCAAAACGCCCACTACAGAAGTATACGTTTGTGCAGGAGGAGCCAAACATCATGCATGAAATAGGCAGCTTGGTTTGAACGTAGCGTACCGCTTGCGCGTAATACCAGCCAGATGGACTGACCGCTGTGTGCGTGGATCAATGCTCTGCAGAAAACAGGATTATTGGAAATGGTGAAAAGCCCATCTGACCCAGCATACACTGGTCCTGAGCTCTACACACAGCCTTCCCGCAGCGATCCCACACCGGTTTGGCCGGCTTGGTTTGGATATGCTACGAATCGAAGCGCCGCGCCCACTCCGCAGCCTCCACCTCCAACGCCGAAGCCACCAAAGGAAGGTGTCCCAGATGCGGGGCCGTACACAGTAAGTGGTCTTCGCCAAACACCGCGTCTGTGGCTCGTTTCTCTTGTTTCCAGAATGAGGGACAGCGCTTTCTTGTACGAAGTTTGCCGTCAAGCAATTAGAGAAGCAGAAAGACTCGGTGAAGATGCCGTTCCTTCTTATTTGGCGCCAGTAAGTGTTCCAACCATCCAGCACTTTTCCTACTATTCAAGATTATCACACGGCACGCGCGACCTCAGGTTCATTTCAATTGAAGTAAATTCTCCGTGATGCTTCCGCTATCGCAGGAGGCAACCTAAACGACGACGTGCTTGTTTCCAGCGACGTGCCACTCTCACTGACAACTTGCTTTTTTCACAGCTTCTGGCTCCAAATGACGAGGCCTTCGAGGTTTTGATGTACACGCTGGGTGGCTATGGCAACAAGATAGAAAAGGAGGTACTCCTTGCGCTTCCGGAGCTAAAGGACATCATGCTGTATCACATCATTCCTGGGAAATGGACATCAGGTAACAGCAACAATTGCAGTGCCATGATTGGTTGGTTCGGTGTATAAAGTCAGCCATTGGATGAAAGTCTCACGACCCGTTGGTCAGATCAGGACCACCTTTGTGCCCCCAGTTTTCGTCACCTAACATTTTGTGCCCTGTGTGCGTTCCAGAGTATCTGAAGAACAACACCGCGATATTTACATCGAAGGGCGTGGAAGTCACTCCATTCAACCACCCTCCCTCGACAGGTACATCGCAGATTTGAAGCTTGCAGGATAGTGACGCTTGCAGTTTGGGTGGCTCAGCTTGTGCGCCCCTGAGCCCAACATAACTTGAGGTAGGGCGGGCCCAGCGCACCCGTCCATGTTCCGAGAGGTCCTATGTTCACTCTGGCCTGTGCTATTGCAGAGGGGAAGATCATGTTCCACGACTCGTGCATTGACAAGCCTACCCCTGATAGATTCACTTGCAAAGAGCAAAGGGAATTCAACGCGTGCAACAAACCCTTTATGATCAGTACCCTGGGGGCCCAATGGCGTGGAGGATACTGCGAGAGGACATGTGAGCGCTGCTCGTGCGACGCCTCGAAGGGCAGCTTCTGTGCAGAAGCCGATCTTGTTGACTTGTATGCGTCGAATGGAGTCGTTCATGTCATAGACCGCATCTTGTTTCCTCCGCCCCGCTTCGACAAAATGGTGGTGCCCACGAATAGTAGGGCAAGGAGTGCACCGACGACAAGGGACACCAGCGCCCGGAACCCTGCTCCGGGGGGGGATGTGCGGACCATAGTGCAGAGGAACAATGCCCTCAGGCCTCCCGCTCGCAATGACCCAGCGGCCGGGTAGTGGACAATGGAGTTGGTGTGTGGCTGATTCCGTGAAAAATGTGACGTGAACTCTCGATGGTATTATGGGAAATTGATGGCTGATGCATTACTGAGGACGACAGGGCTGCAGCTTGGGAAGCTGTTGATGGGAAAGAGCGTGCAGACACCGCGTGAGTCTTCTGGAGACCAGCAGCAGCGCGGGCAGACGGGCGGGGCGCCCGGCGCTGCGGTCGGGGTGGAGGAGCGCCGGTGGGGGCCGTTTGGGTTGAGACCGGCAGTCCCAGTCAAATCCATGGAACTGATGGTACTGTAAAACTTTCGATGTACATACGCTTATCTTTGTGGCCACCAGATACAAAAAAATAGAACCAACATCTCGCACATGCTTGTTAATTCCCTTTGCCACAATGAAAGGACGAATTGGCATGTTTCCTTGAGGCATGGTGTGCGCTGTCAGTCGTCTTGCCAAGCTCGACGGTACTTATGCAGGTTGTTGTTGAGGTTGTTCATCATTTCAGTGACTGTGAAATAATTCCAGCAGCATTACACGTTCGCCAAGGTACTGAACTGAGGCGTTATCGTACAGAGGTTCTGCATAACAAGACAGCCAGTGAATGAACATTGCAAAAGGTCCAACAAGTTGCGCTTCTTTGTGCAGCAACATCCGGCAAGGTGTAATTTCAGCCCTTGTGTTCAAAGGCACTGTTCTATTTTCGTGCATGGACATACGTGGGTGAGTATGTTCCCCAGGGTAGGTCAGCAGCTCGTCATTCAACTGGATTATTGATTATTCCAATCGTGCCAGTGCCGGGTCGCCAGTTGGTAAGCTTTCAGGCTTCAACAACAAAGCATCTAGCATAGCTCCTACCCATACGTGTTTGCCCACCACATTCAGACCGCACAGCATCTGCTGCACACCGCAATGTCAACTCCGCTGCTGCCAACAATCCATGCAACTACCATGGCAATGGTGAAGCAATTCTTTTCAGCCGCTTCGCACTTCTGCCTTGAGCTGCATACATTACTTGCTGCCGCAAACATGGCTGCCTACTGGACCACTGGGTGAAAAGGTGCTGTGCTTGTTCGTGTGGCCAATTACACAGAGCTGTCTGTCCATGTGCCACTTCTGGTTGTTAACGGTACTGGTTCAGCACCCAACGAAACGCAAACTGATAGTTTGTAACAAAAGCACAAAAACTATACAAATCGGTGTGAAGCCAATGCTGGCCGCTTATTTTGCTGTTGCTTTATTATTCAATAGGGTAGCACTACTATTCTGAGTTGGGGTTGCTGTCCAACTATCTATTGCTGGTCAGTGCATCCCTAACCTCCAGGGTGGAGATAGTGCCTACTGGGGTGTACGCTCGACCCTCCTGCACATGCTTGCCTCTGGCTAGGTGCCGGACTTCTGGAGCTTGCCGCCTTGCAAAAACGAGTCAGAATCGTCCAATTCATACAGCTCTCTATTGCAACCATGCCACTTCTCATTCAATAGATCCTGTAGAAACACACACAAGAGTCAGACTCAGAACCGCTGGATCGGATGGCTTTACTAGCTCCACAGGGTAGACTGTTTAGGAAAAGCACAACCAAGAAGAAGGGTTTGGGGTGGGTTGAGGTGGAGGGTGGAAGGAAGGCACCCACTTTTGCTCTGCCCAAATCATCCTGCAGTACCAACTCACCACTGCATCATCTAATCCCTTGACTGTAAGTACACCATTTGTACTTCCGATTGATATCAATCCTTCCTGTTCAAGACGATACAGGCACTTGTCAAGTGCAAAATCAATCTTCAGATTGAAATTGTCCTCCAGGAAGCGTTCACACTCCTCATCCAAACTGTCTTTTGTCAGTGTTCCAGGATGGGTCAATAGTAGAGAGTACATCAGGATGGTTTCCTTGAAGGTCTGGTCTGCCATCTCGTCCAAAACTGACAGGATTGCTCCCTCTTGGGAGTCCCTAGCCTGAGCGTAAACCATCTTGGCCAGTGCACTTGTGAGTTCAGCCTTCCTTAGTGCCAATGACCTGTAGATCTGGCCAGCGCGCCCCAATATGAGCATGACAGCTGAGCCAATCACCGCATAGTCAAGATTTGTCTGCAAATAGCACAAGAATGTCAGATTTAAGTACTGAAAGTCGACCACAATTCCCAGATGTTGACGATTATTTGTTTTCGTTTTGTGCTCCTGAAAACAAGCCATGGCCTTTGCAATTGAGCAAATAGCAATGTGGTGGTGGCAGTACTCGATGATAAAATGCACCCCTGATGGGTCTCGAACAGGGGGCACTGTCAATCCAAGATATAGCAGCACTCTGGTGATGGATCCACACAGGGTGAGTGTCACACGTGTGTTGATATATGAATTGCAATTCAGTTTTAGAAGTGGATATTCAGCATCAACCAACAACTGTGGTGTGAGAGAGTCCATCTTCTTGGAACATGGACAAGGCATTGTGGCACAACAGCAGATTGCCCATCATCTGGTGTTGAGCTAAACCTACCCCCATAACTGATACTGCTGCTCCAATGAGGGCAGCAGCCACTGTCAGTGTCAGCTGGATCTTTGTGATTTGCTTGATGAGCACTTTCTTCTCTGGAAAAATCAACTCGGCATCTGCCATGGGCACATCCACGAACGACTTGATGAAGATATTGCTGTTCGCCAGCTCTACAGCCTGTTGGCCTGCCCTGGGGTCCCTAGCCTTGTGGTCTGCCTTCCGATACACAACAAGCATGTCTTCAAATGTGGGCTCCTGAATCTCCACTATTTTGTGGATGTTCCACAGCACGGTTGGGACGTCGTAGAGCACCCTATCCAGTGTCCTCCGTTGCACAATCCTGCTATTCCTGTGGGTCTTCCCGTCCGTCACACCCGTCGCCCCTTCACCTGGGACTTGAGTGTACCCAGGGCCGGCCTGATCCCCACTCACCAAACTCCACAGCCTGGACAGGAGTTCCATCACCGCGGCCATCCCATACGCAATCAGCAAGTCAACTTTCTCGCTCAGGAACAGGCCCTCCATCTTCGCGACGCCCACCCCCCTGTGAAACACCAACACGCAGTCCGCCATCGCCGCGAGGCCCCTCCGCTCCTCCCGTCGCATCTCCCAATACCTCGTCAGCATCGCCTTGTCACAGCACTCCCAGTCCACCTCCAGCGGCATGTTGAGCTGGAAGTCCTCCGCCAGGGCCGCGTCCCAGTCCTTCTGGCTCAACAGCCGATAATGCGCCGCCTTCATCAGGGTAATCAAGTCGGAAATGAACACCTGCTCCCTCTCCTCCAGCGCCTTCCCTTCGGCCAGCCCGCGCTCCCCGCACTCCTTTCCCGATGCAGCCAGCGAGAACGGCCGGAAGCTGCGCTTCACCCTCCGCCTGACGTCCGCGAACTCCATCTGGGACGTCGTCTCGAACAGCCTGAGCAGCCGCCTGTATTTATCCCCCCGCACTTCGTCGTCGCCCATCCGAGCCAGCAGGGCACGGCTGAGCTCCTGGGCAGGAACGGGGATGTGCCTCTCCGGCGGGCGCACCACGTCGCACGCCCTGTCCTCGCCCGTCGCTGCCCGCCACTGCTTGGGTCCCAGCGGCGTGAACAGCTCGCGCCAGTCGACCCTGCCGGCGTCACCCAGCGATCTGGAAGGAGCGAGGCTGGCGCGCAGGAGGGGGTGTTTCGTCAGCAGCTGCAGGGCGCCGTTCGCCTTCGCGGCCCAGCGCAGGCCAAACATGCCCCCCGGCAGCGGCGCGGAGGCTATCTGGCCAGCGCGGGCGGGCCCCGCGAGCCGCGCCCCTTCCTCTTCCCCAGACAATTGAGGTGGATGGGCCAAGAGCATTTCGAGACGGATCTGGGGCGGGCCCCAAGACATCCCGCGGTGCCGATTTGGCAGACGTTCGTTTCGAAACTTGCCTGGATTGCATTTGTACAACGGGTTTTGGCCGGAGGTCGCTTCTGGGATGAAGCCTCCATGGCGCAGGGGCGGCTGGTGTAACATTGGCACAACGGTGCAGGGCTTCACTGGACAGCGGTCAGTTGGCCATACTATGCTGCCGCCCATCAGCATTCGATGGTGGTGGATTTGTTTTGGAAATTTCAGGTGTCACGACAAGTCGTAGAGGCGCTGCGGGCTTCCTTGGGCTTGCAGAAGGCCTGTTCAGCCGCCGGCACTTCCAACGCACTGTTACGACGTCTTGACAGATTTAGGAACTGCACGCAAGCAACCAATTTTCGGCGGTGACACAATGACCAGTCACACCCCCCCAGGGGAGAAATAATATTACCGCCTGCACTACATCGGTGACTGCTTGCACCAAATCACGTGAACACTATGTCCTAACCTCAGTTTTAGGTTTAGGTTTAGGTTTAGGGTGAGTTTTAGGTTTAGAACTTAGGTTTAGGTTTAGGTTTTAGGGTTTAGGTTAGGTAAGTTTTGAAGGGAGTTAGTGCAAGCAGTCACCGATTTAGTGCAGAAAGTCACCGATTTGGTGCAGCCAGTAATTGTATGCGCCCCCCTGGCACCCGCCAGAAACTCCAGTTTCTGGCTTTTCTCCTGTCCTTCCCTGCATTGACGCCTGCGTGTTGCGCCAAACACGCACGACCTTCCCGAAGATGGCGGCCGCCTGAGCTCCGGCTCCCCAACCCCGCTGCGCTGCTCTGTCGGTGACCTCCGCGATGTCGCGCCAGGCTGCCAGTCAAGAGGCCCAACGATCGGTGCGCGCCGGAGTGTTTGCTGTTGTCGATGTGCCTGCAGGGTCGTAGTTGGGCGTCCAGCGACCCAGCCGCTCGGACCCGGCTTATCACCGGACAATCCTTCCCCTTGGAAGTTGGTTGGGACGCCTCTGCTCACTTGAGTCAAAATTTTCCGCTTCGCCGCGCAGTTCCGGGAATTGGTTGCACTACGGCTTGTTGCCTGGGCCTCTCACCCGCGCTGTCTTTTCATGGCATGTTCAGATGAAGGGGCTTTTTGACAGCAACCCAGCGAACAACGAAGGAAGGGGCGAGGAGCTGAGGACGTCCGAGGCCTGGTGAGCGTTGGTGCTAACCCTTCCAGGCGTCTATTCCATTCCCCCCCACTGGCGCTCGAACCAGTGGCTTTGTCGGCCCTGACGCTCGATCACCACTCCCTCTGCGTATGGGGACTTGATTTCAGGCACCACGCGACTTGCATATCAAACTCAGGCCGCCTGTTTGCGTGCGATTCTCTCTCGCTGAAATGTCACCCTTTTTCCACGCGGATGCCAGGCTGCAGGCGGAGGTGCGGCGCCTGCAGCACCTGCTGGAGGCCAAGGACATAGAGACCCAGCAGCTCTGGTCGACTGTCATTGAATACGAGACGATCACCAAGGACCACTACGACCTGCTCAACCGCCACCACCACCTGCTGCACGTGTCCCAACGCAGCCCCTTCCACAGCCTTCACTCCCTTTCCAACAGCACCGCGAGGCCCTACCATCGGCCGCCGCTCCACGACCTGACGAGTCAAGGCCTGCGTGTGAGCGGCCTGAGTCAGGCACACGGCGCTGAGGTCGGCAATCCCCCACATCCAGCCACCCCAAGCAAATCGAGCGTGACCAGCGCTGGATCCGGCCTCGCGGCACAGGTGAGGGGCACCTGGCCGTGCCATCTGTTGAGGCTGCTGCGCAGGCGGCAGGCAATATCGCAGCGCCAGTAGCGGCGTCCAGGCGGGACGGGATGCTTCTTAAATCATGGGAGCACAATCGGGAGTGCTGAGGAGAGGGTGTTGTCCTTGCATTTTTCGTTGACAGTCTCTGCCAATGTGGTTTAGTTAGTTGCCTCCTGCAACACTGGTCCTCTGCTACGCTGCGGAATGCCGCTGCTAATAATCACCAACAACGACCATTGGTTTTTTGCAGGATGGCACAGACGCATCTGATGTTTCGTCGCTCACAGGCATTCTAGGCCGGTCGCAACACGCAGCGACAGGAGGTATGCCAATTGATGGAAAAGAGAACGCTTTCCGACTCGGATCACTCCATTTGGACAAAGGCTCCACAACCCTCCCCACAAGCCACGGGCAGGACCCTTGGCAGGGTGATGCTTGTGGTGGAAGACGGCGCAGCAGGAGGCCTCAACCAGCTGATTCACTTGGTGCGTTCATGTTTCGGCTCTGTGATGTCCCACTGCGCACATGGCTTGGCCATGTCACTTTTCCAACTGGCTTGTTTTGATTCATATCTGTTGTTGAAACGATCGAATAGCCCGTTTGCTCTGTGTTGGCAGGTTTGCGACGGATGCTGCATCAAGAAAGTTCACCTTCGACACAGCACAAAGACGAACAGCTCGACTCTGTGCTACAGTCATTCAGTCAATTCCATATTTTGCCCTCCACCAAGAGCCTCCAAGAACCAGCAGATGCACCCCCTACTCATGACACATCTGCAAACGGGAGTAGGGTCAATGGAACCCCACCTGCCAAACTGACAACTCCGTCTGGCTTCCTTGGCCAGCCCAGTTGGGCATCAGGGGAAAGGCATTCGGCTTCATCGACCAGGAGCGATTGCCACCCTTTGGAAAGAATCGCGTCCCCTGGCTTTAGAGATTGCAGCACCTCAGCAGACGTTCCCAAATCCATGGAGATGGAAGCATGTTCCGAACGATTGAAACTAGGCATGAACGGCTCCAGGTGCCACATGCGGAGCGTTGATGGATCACCATCTTTGGCCCAGCTGGGCAGCTTTTGCTCCAGTCCAGGTCTGGCCGGGGCGCTACTCAGATCTCCGTGGACCATCCCCATACGAGAGTCAAGTCCTGGGCTGAACACAGACAGGGCGGAGGAAGAGCTGGGCGCGAGGAGTGCAGGGGAGCTCCCTGTGTCCATTGCCCCAGTGGGAGGCAAACTGCTGTCGAACTTTGAGGGCGACGGGAGGCCGGAGGAAGGCCTTCGGCGGCCCCTGGAGTGCCTCACAGAGGGGTCGCATGCACCTTACTCAAGAGCTGCCCTTGAAACGGCTGCCTACCCTTTGACGACCCCCTCGTCATCGATTTCAGAAGCATTCCCTCTCAACGGCATGCTCTCAGCAAGCGACAGCCTCTTTCCACCCGCACTGTCATCAGCTCAGCCCGGCGGCTTTCTCAGCATCCCGCAGCTGGCAGCGACAAACCGAAGCATCATGCTCACCATTCCCACTGCGTCACCAACGTCGCTAGATGACCCTATTATGCGTAATGAAGGCACACTTGGGTCGTCGATAAATCCACACCCCACGGATCGACTCTCATTGAACAAATGCTCTATGGGCATTGAGCCTGATCACAGCTTTACTTCCACCAGCATCGCTGAGGGCCAGGCCAGATTTCCTGACATTGCTGGTGAGCCCTTTGGAAGCCATTTCAACCCCAGTCCGACCCCGTCCGCCACGCCTGTCAAGAATTTGTCGCAGCATTTCGATTTGATGGCCAGTCAGGAAAATGCGTCACTCCAAGGTCAGGATTCAAGGAGCGAACACGGCTCGGAATCTGGGCGCCCCACTTCAGTTGGTGGAGGAATCGCATTGAGGAGGATGACGCAGCTTGGGGGGGGATCCAGCGGTTGGGCACCCGGTCTGTCCAGCACACCTGAAGGGAGGGCGGCGTGCAGGGCTGGCGCTGATACGCAGGGAGAGCCACTGGCATTGAGCGCGGCAGCAGGGCAGTCTTCCGACTGGGCGGACGCGCCCACTTCGACACCAGCGACAACGGCAGCGGGCGGCGCGCAGGTGCAGAGAGAGAGCGCCCCCGCAGGTGGCTGGAACGCCACATTGGCAATGATCAAGGAAAAGGCGTTTCAGCTGAGGCAAATAACTCCCGTGTCGAGGAGGAAGCCAGCCCGAAGAATCGGAGGTTCTTTTGGGTCCCGATCCAGCCTGAAAAAGGCCATCAGGGAGCGGAGGAGGGTGATGATCGGCTCGGATGACGCAGGCGAGGGCGAGCTGTGAGATCGGCCATTGGTCGAAGATGGCTGAAGGCAGGGTATGGCATGCTTAGTGGCGGGGATGTCAAGCCGCTGATGGGCACAGGGCGCTGATTCGTTGTGGGAAGGAAGATGTTTGAATCTCCCTGAGACATGGATTTGAAAGGGCATGGGTGTGTCCTGCTTTTGGACGACATAGCAGCGCATGTCCTGCGTGCTACATGCATTTATCGCCCTCGTTGGGCGGGCAGGGAATGCGGAGAAGCGCGAATAGTTTTGGGACATTAATGCGATTGTTCTGCCGTCATCTCCAGCTTGGGCAAATAGAGGGCTGATCGACTGTCCCGGCAGCGCGGATGGTGCTCATGACTTGTGTGGAACATTCAATACCCTTGAATTGCTCCCTGGTCGCCGCTTGTACTCGATGGACATTGCTTCATTTCAAGCTGTTCCATGGCTGTGCCGCTCGATTTCATTGAGCTGCTCCCAGAAGCGCGTCATCGCGTTCTGGGAGTGTATGGCACGCTGCCACAGCTTGCAGCAACCCCAGATCGACTGACACCGATCAGATGGCACCGCTAGTGCTCACCGCCACCAGCCTCAATGTTGCCCTAACACAATCACTTACCCTGTTGGGCTTCCGCATTTGTGAAGTGCTTAGCCGCTGTGCTCAGGACATTAGGCAACATCGCCGCTCGCTCCTCGCCATAGCACTTTGCTCTCCATTCGTCGTGACCCGCAAGTTGCAGGTCTGTGGAAACATGTTGCAAGTTGCAGCTGTTAAAAAACTGCCTTTAGTCATCAGCACCTGTACATCAAAGGCGGGCTCATGACCGACACAGGGCAGCTGACTGGGCCACTATCAAACAACCAATCAGGGTGAAAGTGAAAGAGGAGAGAAGGGAGCGAAGAAAAGAACATCATGCGTTGCATAAAAAGAGCAAGGAAGAGCTGTTATGTTAACGGCATATTAAGAAAACATCAGATGGTCGCTACGCCTTCACGGTTTATGGTGCCTAACGAGCTGCTTGGACGATGCTTGTAGGAGAATGACCGAGGAAACGATGAGGCAATCCACCGTCCTCCTTCAGTGGCTGGCCAGTTCTGGACATGCTGAAGAGCATTGATAATATTTGGCTACAGCTCGATTGTTCATAAACATGACCGCTCAAGTCTTTCGAGAGGGTGACGTGTCTTGTTTCATGAAAAGACAACACCAGAAGTCTGGATTTGATGGACACGAATGTTTCTATTAAAAGCAGCTCCAAGGTTTGCATTTGACCGGCTGTTTGGATGTTGGACCTAGTAACTGTAATCTACATAAGAATCTGACCACAAAAGGACAATCAGCTCCGTGCATGGATAGACCGCCTTGAAACATTCAGCCCAGGGATGTCGGCGGGACACATGGGCAAGAATTGGATGATCAACACATGCAACTCAAAAGGTTGCTGCCGTGATATGCGCTGGTAAGGAGAAAGAGAAAAAAAGGATATTTTCAGAAGAAGCGCTGGCCAGTTCATGACAGGAATATGCTTTCAAATGTGGCTGAGCGCAGTATGCCACAGGAACATCAGTCATGGAAAGCAGTAAAAAAGGAGAGGAAGGCTGGCAGAATGCTGCCTATTTCTCCATGAAACTATCAGCCTTGAGAATGGTTGATTATTGCATCAGTATGCGGCAATCTACAACCTGGAAAAGAACGTTCTGGGCTCGTTGAGTATAGGATATTGCATGCTGGGCATTACATGTCAAATGACGAATAGCCATTGATGGATGGCTGACGTGCTGCTAACACCGCTGTCATGGGCTAGGGGTGTGCCCCTAGTACTGCTCATTTAGGAATAGCTTAGGGGAATTTGGTGTACGTCCTGGGCGCTTGAACGGCCACTATGACGTACTGGTGCATTGTGACACTTCCCAAATGCAAGCAAAAAGCACTGGCAGGCAATTTGAAGCATGCCTTACTCAACACACTGCCCTGGCAATGTGTCACGTCTGTCATTGACTTGACAGTCGCCATGTCTCGTGGAGCGCTCTGAGCAGGCACTTTGGAACCCGACCGTGCCCTGCTAGTTTGCGCGACGTGCAGCGAGTCGCTGACCCGCCGTGGGAGCGCACGAATGGGCAGAACTCTGTCCCCTGGTCAGATCCTCACGTCTCGGCCAGTTCGAGGGGTTGGCATGCACCAGGGCCAGGCCTACGTGCCGTTGGACCTGGTCGCAAGCAAGAACGGGCCGTCAGCGCCCTTGCCGATGGCGCGGTCGTCGCGGCGCGACGGCAGGTCGGTCGGACGCGGCGAGCGCAACGAACGCAGTGGAGCCACGGAGGATGACGAGGACGACGACACTGAGTACCTCAGCGTAGGCAGAGGAAGCGACACGGCATGCGCAAAAGTCATGGAAGAAGAACGGACATTCGTACGCACTCCATGAAGGCCCGGAAGCCGAAGGGAAGTGGCAGAACCGTCTCCTAGTAAACTGCCGTTCATGAGAATTGACTAAAAGGGTTAGTTGTCCTCGCTCTTTGCTGAGTAAAGGGCATTACGGGTTGCGTTTGAGTGAATAGAGCTGCTTGGTGGTCAGTTGGCTCAACGGAATGATACTGATGAGCCAGGACATGAAGTGTGATTGGTTTATAGTACTTTATTTGTGTATCGATGCGATATGAAGGGAGTATATACGGATCTAGAGGAATCTAGGCAGCTAGGGTGAAGTTGCGCTCTTTTGGTAAGCCAGTTGACCCTAGGTTGCAAACTAAAGTTTCATTTGAATACTTAGATCTGAGCATTGGAACGGGGGAAGATCAAGTGATAAGAATGACATAGACTTAATCCACTTGAAAGGATGAATATATTAGGGAATATTCAGGGAATATTCGGATAAGGTTAGCAGCCCCGTGGGCTATAAATAGGGGAGCGGTGCCCACTTCGTGGTCAGCATATCTGACCAAAAGGTGGTCCCAAGGAAGCAACCGAACACTGCTTGTAATAATCAATTGATTTGGGTCCTAGAATTGAGCGCAGGTCACAACCCATGCAGGGTTGCTCTGGGTGTGTGAATGTGTGTGTTATGTGTGAGAGTGAATTGTGAGGAACAAACAGCTCCATTACATTACATGAGTGCTTCAAGACACCAAAGACATGTATTATTGGAAACCCCTGCAGTGCCCCAAGTGCGTCCAAAGTGTTGCTATTTTTGGTGTGTCCTATTGGGAAAAACCGCAGGGGCCCAAGCGCATTTAAATAGCTGTTGCACATTATGTAATAGACTGGGAAGCCTACGGGGCCCCAGCAAGGCACCCTCAAAAGTACCTGGGGTGTCGAGTTGTAGTTATCTTCCAATATAATCACACATTACTATATTACACAATAGGGTTATTGTATTTACAGCCCAAGCTGCATTTCCAAAAGCAGTTTCTGCATTTCTGCAGTGATTAAGAACGGTAACCGATCTCCCAACCGTTGGGAAGTGTACAAGGGGTGTAACCCACCTAGGAGACACTTCAGCATCCCAAAAGGAATCGTTGGCGTTTGTTGGAGGCACCAAAGATCCAGATCAGAGCACTGACTCATTTTTGGAGTGTTTCAAATAGGTGTGACTGTTTTTCGAGCCAATTGTTGTTGAACCCTGTGCTGACGTGACCTGAAGCTGTATTCTGTGCAACACGCGCTCGTAACAAGTGTTGAACAGGCCTAGAACCCCGTTGCGGAGCTGGTGGAAGGACTGCCTGCCTGTTTGAAATTCCGTGATCCTGGTTTTCGGCTTCCAGAAAACTGTGGTGTCTGTTACGAGCTCTGCCAGTGTCAGTGAGAAGCGCTGAATAGTCACCACAGTGACCAGTGTCGCGCACACAATTGAATCAACCTCAGAAAGATTGGTTACAGTTTACAACTACATCTCTCGTGAGTTCCAGTGCCTATATAATAAAGGCCTGAGAAACCAATTTTGAGTACAGCATGAGCCAAGCTGAGAGATACCCCAAAGAAAACTGAGCAAAGAAACTAAGGTCCAAACCCCTGTCACAAGAGTTGTGTCATCGGAGTGTCCCCCAGCTCCTATAAAGGCTGACCTACAGGGAGGCACACAGGAATCTCATAGGCGGTCACTGTCTCAGAATCAGACTCGCCAGCTGCGAAAGAGTTGGAAAGAGCTGTCAGCAAAGGTTGTTGGTAACTGAGCTGTGCAAAGTGCACTCAGAATCAACAAGAAAATTGATGTCAGAATATATGCTGATGATGTGCTGATATCGCTGGGCAGTGTCCATAGTCCTGGAAACGGTATCAAGGACTGGATGTGTGTTTGTGAATACCAATCAACTGGTTCGACTTAGGAAGGCGGTTGGCGGTGCCTTGCTGACATGAATTTGCGTCAACCATTCGCCTGTGGTCCAGCCTTGCCAGCGAGAGCAGCAAGGCTTGTTTGAAAACTGCGTGGAGTAGTTTGGGTTGCCCTGTGTCTGCTAATGCACGGTGAATCGCTGCAGCTGGCCAATTTGGATAGCGAGATAGCCCGAGTAAAGGGCCAGTTGAGTTTACTTTGGAATTCTGAGCGCATAAGGCGTAGCCAGGTCAGGCAGGAAAGAAACGTTGAACCCATCACGTCGCGGCCTGTGACGAACGCGATCGCTGGCTCAGCCAGTAGTCCCTACCATTTCCAGTTATTCTGTGCTTTTGCGGCTGGGTTAGTGGCAGGTTGTTGTGTGTCGCTAGGATCCCTTTGCTGGGGTATCTGGGTCGGACACATTCTCTAGCACGTATATACGTGGCCGTGACTCACCAGCCGCATTTGGCAGTCACACGCAATGGCCATTCAACGTAGCCATTAATCTGCCCGATTGAATGCCGTTTAGAGAACTTCAGCTTCAACACTCGTGGAAAATGCGTGTGTTTGAAGTTGTTTGCCATGGCATTCGCATTACTGCGTATGTAGAAATTCCAGTACGGAGTAACTCGCCTGGGTGGCAGCAATGCCCCCACACGGAGTGGGGCCCTCGCATTAGTGTGTAATCATAAACCACAGTCCTCCTAAGAACGACCAGGCAGGAACAGCGACCTATCCTCGGCCAGATTCCTCAGGATGAGTTGCTCTTTTTAGGTACACGCGCCTCCTGCAGCCTTACCGACATACGGACATCGTGCATGTTTGCGGGCGTGCTTACTTCCGTCGTCGGCAATCCAGCAGCAGCGCATACCTTCCGAAGGCAGCCCTGCAGCGTTTAACCTCAAGAGAGATATGGATGTCGAACTAATCCATTCTCTCCTCGCTTATGCGATGGTATTGGCGGCCTTCACCCTGCTACTTGGACCACAATCACCCCACGGCAGGCAAGACACGAATTCTTTAGCCGATGCCTGTGGTGCTAGCGAGATTAGTTTGCCAGCATTGATGCCGTGGTGTCAGTGGAGATGCAGCGAGATTGAGTAGCTTGCTGGCTTCTGTGAATGTATTTTGAATGCCACTTCGCAGATTTGCGTCTCCATCCTGGGGTCCAACTGTCAGCACGAGGCTGGGCTGGACGGTAGGGTGGCAGCTGTTGGCTTTTCATGAGTATGCTAATGAGCAAGTTCAATGTTTCCCTTCCTTTCCAACGCTTATCAACTGGTGTCTGGCCTGCACTTCCTCAAACACAAGAACGCCTTGCTGTCCCTCGCCTGTGGCAGATCTGAGCGCCGTTGTGCTTGGTGGGCCCAGCGGCGGGCACGATTGCTGCATCCCTTTTTGATCCAAACAATGCGCAGTATTCGATGCACTCTTAGTTGAGCTTGAAAGCTGCAAGTGGTGATTGCAATTGTGACAGCGTGTTTGCTAAGAAATAAGAATGTCAAATTTCTTGAATGCATACGTGCCCGTCAGTGCCCAGGACGAAGGGCCAAGCATTGCTCTGTGTGGGTTGCTCCAGGCAATAGTACTGAAACCTGTTCCAAAAGATCTGTGTGTTTCGCAGCTTGCAGAGATGTGGTCTTGGCTCATCCCCATCACCATCTGGCTGACTTCAGTGCCCCAACAACCTATGACCACTGTTCAAGCCGTGTGTCTTTGTGCCCTGATTGTCCATTACGTCCATCGAAGTGTCATATACCAATGGATGGCACCAGCGCAGGGCACTCCAATCTTGGTCCTACTCCATGCTTTTGTGTTCACTTGCTGGAACGGTTTCATTCAGGTGTGCTGCACTGCGCAGAACTGAACAACATAATCGTCCCCCAAACCCAATTCGCTTTTTTGACAGCCTCTTTGACCAACAATGTGCACCATGCAAACAAATGTCTGGTATTTCATTGCACTTTCGTTTGTAGGCTGCACTATTGAATCTGCGACAGTGCCAGGGCGCCTGGATGCATAGCCTTGTGTACATTGCTGCAATTGGCATGCACACTCAGAGAAGCAATGTGTGTTCAACGGAGAGAATGGCAATGTTCAGCAAACATGCAGAGAGTGGTCGTTGAGATTGCCTACCATTTCAGCTGGTGTAACATTGCCACAATTGCACAGCTGTGTTGCCAGTGAAGCTGAGAAGAGAACAATGATTTGGCCTACAAATGGGCATGAACATTAGTATTGCAGCTGTACCCTTCTTTTGTCTCTGTCAGTTGTCCTTGTGCAGCAGCATCTAATCGAAAGTCGCAAGAGTCAGCCAGCAGGAATAGAACAGTCTTTGAGTTATGCCAGTAGATCAAGCCAGCTCATCTTCAATTTTTGACACTGCTGAGGAAAGTATGGACAGACTCTGCAGCATGCTGCAGACTGACAGAGCTGTAGTTGAAACAATCACTGTTGATGTTGCTGTGTTGTTGCACCATGATCAACCTCATGTTGGCTGCAGGGTTGGTCAATTGTTCACCATTGGACCATCACTGTGGCCGATTCCTGGCTTGCCTGGCTTGGCATCTCTGTGTGGCTTCTTGGCTTTTGTATGAACCTTCAAGGAGACTACACTCTGATTGGTTTGAGGAAGCAAAATGACAAAGGTGGGAGCCTGTTGTGTTTTGCTTACCTGTGTGTTGTACAATAGGGTATTCTTGGAAAAGATGACAGGATCCATTAACTGGCAACTGTTATTGGTAGTATTTGCTGTTGGCCATTGCCTGTATCGTGTAGAGGTCACGTGCTCAAGAATATCAGTGCAGAGAATAGCACTTACCTCCTCCTTGCTACAGCCACGACTGGCTTCGCTGGTGCTCAGAAGTCTGGCAATGGGTCGATGACCTGCTTGCGTGGTGGATTGCAAGAGTGTGATGTGTGCACCCAGTTGCATGAGCATGTGCATATCCTCCTCAATGCTTGTGTCAACTACGAATCTCGATGGTGCAGGCTACAGAGTACCACATGGGGGACTGTTTGAATATGTGTCAGCAGCCAACTATTTTGGTGAGATTGTGGAGTGGTTGGGCTTTGCACTTGCATGTCGATCGCTTGCTGCTGCCTCCTTTGCTATCTTCTCTTTCTGTTATTTGGCCAAGCGAGGAGTGGCATACCATTCGTGGTATCTTTCCAAGATCAAAGGATACCCCAGAAACAGAAAGGCTGTAATTCCCTTCATCTTGTGAGCACTATGTATGAGAGAATTCTAACCGCTGAATCATTTCACCAGGAACCTGATGCTAGCTAGTTCAAGATAACACTTTTGCTGCACGTGGCCATGTCGCATTGGATACCATACGCTTGATTAGGCCTTGGGGATTGAGGACCTTCCTTCATTTCTGGGAAACATGCACATATGAATTAGCTTGACTACTTTCCACAGCAGCCCACTGCCATATTAAGTATTATTGCAATTATGAACAGCTGTGCACATTGCGTACGTCGTATCAATATTGAGGCAGACACTGTTGCCGATAGGGCTCCAAAGATAACATAGATTGGAACACTGGAAGCCAGGCTTTAAACTTGTACTCGTTGTGGCGATCGCAAACAAGGACCAGCCATCGCCGTCCTCAAATTTGACATTCACGCATATAAGTTCCTGCAACAGAACATCGCATGCTTTGGATCGGAGCACAGACAGCTTCCTAAAACAGCGGTATTGGGGACCGTCACATGCGCACAGTTGGTGCCCTTCTGTAGTATGGCCCCGGAACATTGTGCCGTTAACATCCATACGGCATGTGCAAGAACACAATGCACAACATGTGGAGTATATGCAACACCTATGGCCGTAGATAGGCGTTGGCAGTTATTGAGGCAGGACGTTGAGGGTGTGATGCAGACGATCTCGCAGCACAAATGCTGTCCTCCCAGACAGTACATTGCAACGCAACGTCGCTAAGAGCGCGTGGCGGACATACGGCTGAGCGCTGATGCTGACGCAGAGCACCGACGCATCGGCACGTATGCAAGCCTACGTTTTCTTGCTTGTGCTGTGATACAATTCAATGGCGTCCAATTCTGTCGCTTTCAGCATCAACAACGGGCACCAGGGGAACCTGCAACGAAGGGTGTGCCCCTCACTTTCCAAGGCCACATCACTTCATGCGTAACAATGTTCCACACAGAACGTGTCCACAACATCCTTTTGCAGGAAGACAAGTCCAGCAGCGGCCACGTGCTCCACAGCTCGCAGGGACATCATGAAAGCGAAAGCAAACTGCGCTGATATTCCACGCATGACTAGAAACGCAACAGGTGCCCCAGTAAGCTGGCTTCCATGACGTTTCCATTTCGAGTGCTTTTGAAATGCTCCATGTTATTCACATCTTGGCGGCGATGGGGCTTGCAGCAGCGCCGCTCCAATTCGTCACTGCTCGTCGAACGTGCCACAGTCTTCCCCTGAGAATCCACTGTCGCACAAACACTCTCCTGTGGAGAGATCACACAAGCCCAGGCCGTTGCAGTTGCCGGGGCAGGGCTTTGGAGGTCCAGATGGAGACTTCATCTCATCGACGCCAACCTCCCGGCACAGGCTGTCGGCTTTCGGATCGCAGACTTCAAACACGTCGGCTGCGGTGGACATGCCCATGACTTCCGGCTGGTGCTGATCAAAAGCCAGTACCGGAGGCAACACCCATCTGCCCACTGTTGCCGCAATGGCTTGAAACGAAATGAGATGTGTTCCGGGGCGAAGGTAGCAGTACTCGAATGTCACAAGCGATGGCCGCGTTTCCTGCGTGTACAGCGCCGTGAGAATCAAGCTGTACATAGCGGTGTCAATACCTGCATGTGCCTGGCACATTGTATTGCATTGGCCCAATGCGCCCTCGCATTCAAGCGACGAAAAACAGGACAGTGCTTGAAAGAACATGCACATCCGTTGGCGGGAGGCAGACTCCACGCCCTCGTTCCGCCTTAACATTGGCTTCAGCGCATTCGTCGTGTATTTGATGTTCTTACTTCCAAGTGCAATATCTTGGATGTCCTTCGAGAAAAGTTGTTCAATAATCAAAATTAATGCAAGTACTTCAAAGGTCGTAGGACACAAAATGAGAAGCAATATGCTGTGGGGTAGACATTTGAGAACTTGGAATGTCTGCATGTAGTTAAGGAAACAGTATACAACACGTCGCCTGCAAGCGTGGTATTGGCTGGTGTATATTGCATCCTTCATCCATGCCATGCAACTTGCTGCGGCAGTCAGTCGCATGGAAATGGTTTCTGGCTAGAAATGAATGTCTAATTGATATTGCAAATGATAAAGATTTGTTGTCCTGCCGGAAGTTTGAATCCTTAGCCATGCCTACACGCAGACAGAACAGAACTAGCTTAACTTCCTTTCAATACTTCTCAATATGTACCACCAAACTTACCTGCTCTGGGCACAGTGGGTAGTACCAGTCCTGATAGGAAATTCCCAATCTGCTCGTCGCACACTCGGTGGCAGCACCAGGGTCAACCAGTGGATCAATGGGCTCCACTCCCCCAGGCATAAGAGACTTCACTGTGACATACCCCAAAGAATCAGGCGTAGTAACCTGTGGAGGCAAAAATCCCAATTAGTTCCATGAAGCTGTGGGTGCAGAACGCCCTTTGAGGGTGCGCACAGTTTGTTACTGTTTTGCTACCCAGCTACGGTGGTTGATTCTTGAACGACATGAAAAGCACATGCGCTCGTCTCCAATGGGTATTCCGCCCAATTGGAAGGTCGCAGACAATGCAAGAAACTCCGCGCCACTCTCGCCATTAAATGACCCTCAAGATCCCAACCTCAGCCGATATCGGCAGATTTTCGTGAAATTGGGGTGTCCAACAATCCAAATTGGGGCATGTGGCACATTCCTGTCGAGGACCTGTCCTGAAGCTGACGGGGAGTGGTAGCCCGGCCGTTTTCCGATGTTTCCCATCGATTCACGACAATGGTCCCCGTTGCATGCTGACGTCGGTGGGGAGGCTAACGCCAGTGTCGGCGTATGTTATGCGTTTCTTCGAACAGCCTCATTACCTTTCGCAAAAGTAGGACAGTTCAGAGAAAATTTGTATGCTGTCGAAATTGTGCAAGAAGACGAAAAAGTTCAGGGGGCAGGACCTGTGCGCTTCAGCCCCTCATTGGGCCATATGCACCGCCAATCGCACCTGCAGCGTGATGACCAACGGCGTTGCCAAAGGCACCCGAGCCAGAGGAACGCTGGAAGGGGCATTGTCTGACCCGGCTCTCTGAATAACCCGGTCCACAAGAATCCCTCGGTAGGTGGGGAACGGCAAAAGCCGGGAGGGGACGAACTCCATAGAGGCAACGGCTGTGACTTCTCCCGTGCCTTGAGCTTCGAAAAAAAGAGGGGCGGGTGGGCTGTCGAGGGCAGAAAACGGGATCGTGGAATCCGCGATAGGGTCTGTCGGGTCGTCGAACAAGGCCTGAGACAGAGGGCAACACAGAAATCAGACACCTTCGAGCACTTCTTAATCCGTTCCCAAGATTTTACTGCAGCAGAATCTCTTGTGGTTGAAGGATTAACCAGTAGCACTGCTGCCCAGCACAGAGGTATAAACGCAATTTCCGTGTGCATGGAAAGAAACATATTGGCGGATGTTTTTTTTGGGGGGGGGGGAATGTGATAGAGTCACTCTGCCCCACCTGCATAATGTCGATTGACCCGCTTGATACATTGAGCGTCACGTCTGGATCAGTGCTGCCACTCGACAGGTCGTACTGCGACAGAGCATGCAACGATGATATCATTGTCATTGCCGACTCCGAAAAACGCCCGCTGGATAGTCCTCCCCGTCCCACGTAGTTTGCAAGTTTCTCGACGAGCTGCGTTGTCGTGTTGGATTCCACAAACACAAGCAAGGCCAGCGCCTGGCTTTGCAGACCTGTTGGAGGCAGATATGAAAATATGGTCAGGGCATGACGTCTCTGGGTCGCACCTCTCTTGGAACATGCTGTGTGGCAGTAGTCGAAAGTAGCAACGAAGTTATCTTTCGGTGCTAGAATGGTAACAGACGAAGCGTTATGAGTTGGGGTGCGCTCATAAGACAGTTTTGCCTGCATGATGGTGGCTTTGAGCTGTGCTTCCTAACCCTGCTGGTGCTGGCCTGCCGGAGCCTGCATGCAGCAACGTACGCTGTGCGTCCTGCAACGCGAATGTCCGACAAGAACGAATCCACCACAGCCGCGACGTCGGCATGACCAGGCCTACCGGCCTCCAGCCAGGTCAATGCGAGACTGGCTCGGGTCTCTATCCGTAGATTGGGTATATTCTCGCTCAGGCGCTCGATGGACAGGTCTTCGATGATATCGGCCTCTGCGCAAATCAAGTCGTCCTGGCTCGGGCATCGCGGAGGCGACCAGTCTGCACCGAGGGCGAGTCTGCGCACAGGGAAGGTTTATGCACACGAATTCATCCGCCATCGTCCAATTAAGAGATCTGTTGTGCGCAGTGCATTCACCCAGGTTGTTTATATCCGATTTGAGCACGCATGGACTAGAAGTCGCTTCGGCGTTGGAGAGTTGAAGAGAAATCCCAAAGCTGCGCAGAGTACAATCAATGTGTTTCATTATATTGTTTTGATAATCGGGGAATGGCAGAGAGGGAAACGCGCCTGATCTGCGCAACTGTGCCGAGATCGATTCGCCTATTCTTCTTCCTCCTCTCATATGCGTCCTCGATGACTTGCCGCTCCAAGACCGAGGCCCACGTCCTTACTAATTTCCGCAACAGCTTCCTTCCGGCTTTCAACTCCTGCGGGAATGACACAGCGATAATATGGGGCTAGTCACCGACTGCATTGTGACTGTCCATCCATCCATCCATCAAATGCTAAATAACGTGAATGCGAAATCCAAACGTGATCCTCGTGTACTATGGCGCATTTTTGTTTCGCAGGTTTTCAGCTTCGCGTTAAGATTCCATGTGATATCACACATCATGCAAAAAGCACTTCCACACAAGGTAAATTGTAACCCCCTGCCGCAAATCGCCTTCCTCCGTGATCAATGCGCACCGAAGCAACCCCTGTGATTGACATGTGCATGCAATCCATATGAACACAGGAAACGAATTCTAGGATCTGCTTCGTGCGTGCCTGCATGTCATGATCGGTGACCGCAATCCATTCAATCAAGAAAAATCTGTAGTTCACATGATTTGTTCCGAATAATTTTGATAAACGTCAAGCC